CGCTCTGAGGGCCACGAGGGGGCGTGGCCAAAGAGAAGGGGCGCGGCCAAAGAGAAGGGGCGTGGCCAGCACTGGGGGGGACCCTGCAGAGCGTGTCCTCTGCACGGGGGGGGGGCATCTCCAGCGCTACTGCCTGGGGGTCCGTACGGAGAGACCCTGTCTGTCTCTATTCAGTGAGGTCTCTTTTTGGGGGGTGGGGGCTGTTCCCCACTCCTCTCCCTGTCATGGGGTCATCCCTCCCTGATGGGATGAGTAGATGATGCTCCCCGTGGACTCTCTCAACTTTCGGGCCCCGGCCGTGCGTCGCGATCCCGTGGCCGTGCGGACGGCAGCAGACCCGCGGTGGCGCGCAGGTTTGCTCCGTCGCAGCTTGGCGCGAGGTTGGGGTGTCAAAGATGCTTGGGCACTCGGCGTGGTAGGGCGCGTTTCGGGCTCCTTCCATTCATTTCCTCTCGCGCTGTCGTCACGTACAGTCGCCGGACTTGTCTAAATTCGGTTGATGACCTCGTGCCTGAATGAGTTAGAAAAAGTGGCTCTGAAAGTGACGTTGTGAGGCTGAAGAATCGACCCCCTTTTGAGATGACTAGCGGTGATTCTCGCCTTCCCGAGAGATGCAGTTTGAGGCCGTCTGCAGGCAGGCGGAGACTGCGTCAACTCTCCATCAGTTTACAGTAGCTCAGGAGCAGGAGGCTCTTTGTAGGTGTAAGGCCTAGGACTGGTCTCCTGAGAGCGAGCGAGAGAGCTCCTGAAAGGTGCAGAGCCACATGGTGCTGGGACTTCAAGCAGACCAGATCAGCCCACAGGTTGTGTTGGGTTCCTTGATGCGGACCCCAAAAGTGGCATGGGTAGGTATGAGACCAGCTTCCATTCGTTGTGCATCTCTCCCTTCTCTTGAGACACCCTTACTTCAAATAAGCATATCCCCATCCCGGCTCAGATGGAAAGGGGATAGTTCCCTTCAGGTTCTGGTAGTTCTTTGTGGGTTGGGAATCCTCCTCTTCTCGTCCTGTGGCAGAGATGGGATACGTTACCTAAGAAATGAGGGTCTAACCTTTGTCTGCTCTGTGGTGCAAGTGTAACCTCTTGGGGTGGGTAGGGGTAAAGCTTTGGTGCGTACATTGTGGAGTGCAGATCGTAACAATTTTTTCGCGCCTGTCTTTCTGAGTGAGATGTTTTCCGTGGGGAGTGACCTCTTTTTGGTGGTATCTTATAATGGTGATGAGGATGTGCGCTGGGAGAGGTTTGGGAAGATGGTTCCAATGGAAGATGGGCTGTGGTCGGAAGAGGGCAAACTGACTACAGTGGAGAGTTGGGTGGCAAGTGTGGCAGGGATTAGTTTCTGGTCAGAAGGAAGGGGCGTGGTCAGATGAAGAATTGTTAGAAAAGATGTTGATGAAGCAGGGAGAGCAAGGAATTGCACTTCGGCAGAAGACAGTGTATTACTGTATTGGAAACAAAGGGATGACTAGATCCCTCTGGGAACACAAGTGTGTGAAAAAGGAATAAGGCAGCGGGTGGAGTAGCAAAAATGAGGGAACTGGATCCTTAGATGGTGACTAGAGTTTAGCAGAATGGGCAAAAGGATTCATTTTATGGGGTGAGAGATGGGCTTGCACATTTGCAGAGAGGAGAAGGTGGCATAAACTGAGGGTGAAGATACAATCCCAGAAAAGGGGGGATAGGATGGTGAATACTGTCATAAAGATGTGATGATGAGAGTAGAGGAAAGAGCTACTTTCTGAACTCTGAGGGTTTGCTTAGTCTCTGAGAGTGTGTGTGGGGAAAATGGTTGTCAGACATGAAAGGAAAGTTGGGGGCGGGTGTGGTTAAAGATGGTTAAGATCAGAGCTGTAGTAAAAGGAATGGAGATGATGTCGTGTCCCTTCCCCCCCCCCAGTTTTATCAAAGAGAGTAATCTTGTCCTTTTTACTTTCCATATGGTCTTTTTGGTCATCTTTTCTCTTCTTCCACAGCTTATCTCCTGTTCTTTCCACCAAGTGTGCCATTATTCAGGTAAAGAGGAATTTCTTCTGTGAAACGAAGAAGAGTGGCCCTCAACATGGTGGTATATTTGAGATGGGGACTTATTGCTGGGTATGGAGGCTATCAAGATTTGTCATTTCTTCTAACCAGCAGTGCTGACTTGCTTATATTATGGCATCTTCCCTGTGGACTCTGCAGGTGGGAATGATCCCTTAGGTTTTACCTGTCTTAGTGGTCTGGAGAGAGATGTTTTTTTCAGATGGTTAGGCTAGGAGGGACCTTGAAGACCTAATCAGATCACAAGGATTATCTAGTTTTCTTTGTAAGGAAACTTTTTGAGTATTATGCATATAATCATGATATCTCCTATTCTAGGCGCCTCCAAAAGAGCTGGCTTATTCTGGAATGTGCAAAAACATAATGGAACAAAACATTTATTGCAATGGAGGAAATGAGAGCTTACCCTTTAGCTTCAGGAAAACTGCTTTGAAGAGGAGAAAGTTACTTTCCAAATACTGCTCTTGCGAATCTGTTCTTGCTGCTATTTATATTAGACTCCATTCAAACTTATCTGCCAGATGCCAGTGTAGAAAGACTTGTGAGCAGTGGCGTGTCAGTGTGGTCCTAGGGCCAACAATTCAGAAATGCCTGGTACTTTTTAGGGCAGTAGGCGAGCAGTAAAGTGAAGTTGACACAATATATGATTCTCTGCTGTTCACAAGGTTCTGGGCAGTTGTACTAAAACCCGGCATTTTGCTGGAAAACAGAACAAGAGCAGAAACATTAGCTCTTTGTCTGGAGATGCAGGACAATGCTGTGTTGGTTTGTCTCAGTCTTAGAAGATTCCCTGTGCAGTCAAGTTTATGGGTGTGCTCTGCACAAATCTAGTTCAGATATTTCTTCTGTTCCCAGAAAAAAGCTTGTTTGTCAGAAGCCAGTGGACTGTTTTCCCGTGTCTTGATAACTGATCCCTAATTTTAAAGGAGTGTTACTCTTTTCAACAAAGTATGGCTTGTTACAACAGACACTCAAATTTAAGTCACTTTGTTCATCTCTGCAGATGAAATTTTACTCATTAGGTTTATATGCAGTCCTTCCTGATGAAGGCTCAGGCGGCTTACAGAAAAGAGGAAAATTAATTATCAAACGAGTGAGGGAACAAAATGGTAGAAACACAATTATTTATAAAGCCAATAGAGTATTAAAATAAACTCTTAACAGCTGCCCTCCTTTTGCTGTGGAGCATGGGGGCCCGTGATCTAGGGAGCATACCAAAAAGAAAGGGAATTCAGTTTTCGCCCTGGAAAGAACTTTCCTTCCACCCTGACCTGATCACTTGTGAGATTGGCCGTGAGTAACGGTAGCATGATCTCTCCCAACTTCTGCATTTCCGGAACATTTGGGTGTGTCTGGAAGGAAGCAAATAATTCATTCTAAAAACAGTACACTGATGCAGCTCAATTCACCTCATGCTTATTATGCCTGAAAAGGAATAATGTGAACATGGAAGACAGCTTGTCTTTGAAACAGCCGTTGGCAGTGCTCAACTTTACTTTTGTTTTTATTGCTTGGGGTGGTAGGGATTGACTTCAGCATTCATATCCCTGTTGAGCTGTATGGAACTGTGAGATCAACTAAATTCACAGGGTTTTCAGAGTTTCAGAAGTACTCGCATGAACTGCATAAACTCAGGACAGCCTCATGACTACACATTTCCACTACCTGCTCAGTCCAGGAGATGGACCCTATCTAGCAGTAGCTGTGTAGATCGAGTGTTTCTTGTACTGTGTTAGTAATGCAAGAGCTGGCCTTTAACAGATGCTGACTAACAGGAGCTGGGTTTCTTCCCTTGCATTTAAATGCAAGTTCTCTGAAGTTCAGACATGGTCTGTTAGGATGGAAGTTTTTCAGGGAAGGATGTTTTTGCATACTGCATCTCCTGCTTTAGGCACTGGGACAGATATTCCCTTGCTGAGTTTTATTTTATTCTTTTTCTTGGTGCTGTCTGAGCAGTGTTGAAAATGGTTTGCGGTCACTTGTTTGTCTTGCAGCCTACTTTTGTCCATATGCTGTGGCGCATTTTGTGTTGCAAAAAAATCTACCCATGTTACCCACTGGATAGGTACTGACTCTGAGGCTTTCATGAGGGGAAACAACCATGTGCAATACATGCGACTTTTTTCCCATTTGACTATGTTGGTATTTGCCACCTCTGTCTATTACGTTATCATATTGGTTAAAAACTAAAAATACATGAAAATAAACCACACTAGTTAAAATAGATCCAGCTTTGTCTTCTAAAACCCGCAGAGAAATCACTCTCCATACATAATAGGGGTGGGGGGAGAATCAGCTGAGAGAGTGCATATTGGTGTTCCCTTAGAGCCTATTTACTAATTAATGACAAGAGACGTCCCCCCTACATAGCAACAGTGACTAGGCTGGGTGTGACTTTCCACTGGACTGGAGGCCCCTGCCAAGCAAGCCAGTGAGGTCAACTGAAGATTGAGTGCAGAGGTGCTAAAAGAGATGCATTTGGTAGCCGTGTTGGTCTGAGACAAAAAGAAATGCAAAACTCTACAACTCTTGGTTCAGAGATGATTGACCAACTAAGAAGTAAAAGGTGCTGAAATACTTCCCTTTCTAAATTTTAGGGAACAGTTGTTAGTTGTTGCCAGAAATTTTGAACTGACAAATCTAGAACTGTAATCCTGCCCAAAGCCCCACAGAACAAGCTTTGTTTGGTGGGCTATAGAGCAAAAACCAGTGCTTTGTACTGGAGTCTGCACAAGTACCCTTGCTTTGCTGTCAGAATCCTGGAGGTTTTTTCATGGCTCTTCCAGCCTTTCATACATAAATTGTAGCCTTCAGTTGTCATGTATGCCCTAGTAGTAATAGTGTGACAGCACAGGTTGGTACAACATGGAGTGGAAGGGAGAAAACGCCCATGTTGGAAGTTGGGGAGGGGGGTGGACTAGATGTGAGGTCCCTTCCAACCCTAATTTTCTATGATTCTATATGAGAGAGATGTTGAATATCACTGCTGTCCTTTACACAAATGCTTGTATGCATTAGTTTAATAACCTTTATATTATTTGCTTAGTAAAAGCTTGTTAAAATGGTATTGAGTTTCCTTTCTACCAGTCTTGAGTGATAGCATTAACATCTGTATTTGGAGGGTGACTTGGACCAATAGGGCTATGGTTTCTTGCAGTCCAGTCCAGCAGTAGGCATGAAAGAGGTCTGACTTCAGTGAGACTATGAGGAGTGGGACTCTTCACTATGAGAGAGAACTCTGGTTAACCACGCTTCAGGTAAGCTGCGTAGACCGCATCTAGAATGAGTCTTAACATCTTTGTCCAAAGAACAATTTTCCTTCTTCCACTGCAGCTGACTCCTGTTGTTCACTGTGATCACACAACAGTGTACAGACTTGGCAGTGAGATTTAAGGGAAAGCCAAAGTACTTTTTGGAGAGTGTACTCCTGGAGTTATTTGACTACTCTATGTAAAGTATGTGTGGGGAGGGGAACGGGAATGAAGAGAACTTTCTGGCTGCCTACAGCCTCCCACTGTCAGAGCAGTTTCCAACTGGTTTGGCTAGAGTACATGTGCAGGGCTGCTCCTGTGTTTTCCGGGGGACAGTTGTTCAACTGAGCTGAGGATCTTGGAAACTGCTTGCATTTCATGGAAATGTAGGTCATGAGATGCTCTCTGAAGATCAGCAGGCTAAGTGCCTCGCAGAACATCTGGGAGAGAAGGTAGTGCTTTCTCTACTTTACAAGTGGGAAAACTAAGGAAAAAATAGACTTGTCCTTGACAACAGAGGTAGCGAGTATCAGGCATTGCTGCATAGGAATTCCTTGT